TTAGAAGAAAAACAGATTGAGGTTCAAGAAAGTCTAACTAAAGATAAAGGAAAAGGAAAAATAGTATATAAAGAAGATGAAATAGAAACTAAAAGAAAAGTACAAGTAGGAATTATGATAGATGAATTGAAAGAAGAAGAGAGAAAAAATAGATATCATGCAAAGGAAGAGAAGGAAAACAGTAGTATCTATAAGGAAAAAAGAAAGTGTCATTATAGTATAGAAAATGAAAATGCAAAAGACTTTGAAGGAAGAAGTATATATCAAGAAAGTACCAAAGTTAATATAAGTAAAGAAAAAAACATAATAATAGTATAGAATATTCCTCCTCATATTACAAGAATACAAGTATTTAAAGCAATAATATATATAGAAAGAGTTACACCTATTGAAATGATCCAAGAAAGATATATAAAAATGAAAGCTGAAGTTATGTTCGAAGAAAGCAGAATGAACAAAGAAGAAAAAGATATCTGGGCAATATCTTTATTAAACAATATACTAGTTCATATAACACTAGATTTAAATAGCAGAGAAACTCTCAAAAGAAGAAAGTAGCATATAACAAAACTATTTAATATACTAAAAAAAGTTAATAAAGTGCTTCTCTTTAGACAAATTAGATATATAGGAGCAAAAACTGTATATATTTTCAAAAATGCAAATAGAAATAATAAAGGATTAGTACTAATTATATTCAAATATAGAAAAGACTTAGAGCAAATAAGAAGATATAGTATAAGATATTATGATACAAGACTGTTTTGAGAGAGAGTAGAAAACAATACAAATGAACAAATATACAATATAGTAGAGCAAAAACAAACTTCTATAAAACAGGACTAGAGAAGCAAAAAGTATGAACAGGCAAGTACAAGTGAAAATGAAGTAATATTTAAGAGTAGAGAAGAGAAAAGAGAATATGAAAAGAAAGAAAGAAAGAGTAAGAAATAATAAAAGAAAAGAAATTAATAAAAAAAGAAAAACAGAAAATAGCAAAGAAAACAAAAGATATATAGAGTCTCAAGAAGTTTCTAATGTATCATTAAAATACATAGTTCAATTAATTCAAGGACTAGAAGAAAGAGTAAGTATATGGGAGTAGAATGCTCCCAATTGATTCTAAAATTTGTTAAGGTTCAATTACAGGAAGCCTTCTTTATTACTTATATTTGTTTCTATGATACTAATTAAATTGAAGCATTCTTCTTTGCAATATTTTGATAATTGCTCTAACTTAGTTATATCTCTTTTTAATCTATTAATATTATGTGTTCTAATTTTAATTTTT